TGATTGAACGCATTACTCCAAAGGGCAACACACATTTCAACAATGCTGGTCTCTTAGTAACAAGGAATGATAACCGTGAATGCCTTTGTTAATATTAATGAACTTTACGGAGCAATATAAGGTTTTCAAAAGAGCTAAAAAGGAATAAATACAAAGCGTTAAAATACAAAGCATCAATACACCAACCAGCAGAAATACAAAAATAACATGGTATTTCTAACAATGCTAAGGGCATTCCTACTTACACAGCAAATCTAGAGAACCGCTCATGTTGACAGAAATTAATAGGTATATTCCTCCTTTCTGCATTGTTCTTTAATCATTTACAGTGCTTGCAAAGTTTGCCATCTACATTCCTACCAACACCAGTGAGTCTTGTAAAATCCTATTATGCATGATTCCAAACTACTTGTGTGGGTGATTTCACAGTACTGGTGAATGTCCCTCAGTGTAAAAAGCTGGAAAGCACGGAAAAGGCTAGAAATGCTTTGTATATACTTAAGTAACCATCATCCACTCTTGTTGGTTTAAAAAAACAAAACCCCTCATCTGAATAGTGAAACATCAAAAATACCTGCTAATTTAAATGAAGAACGAACCACTGGCTATCTCATTCCAGCACTTCAAAAAACAAACAAACAAAGCATTTTAATAAACTCTGAATATGCTCTCACAGAATTAAGTATACAGGTAACAAACATGAACACAATTACAAGGACTCTAACTTTCCTTCATAAATCATAGGTTAAAAGAAGCTAGTCTTGGACTAATTTTCCAAAAGATGAAATTTTCAAAAGGCATTGACAAACTGCACTCTACTGAGAAAGCCAATACATAATTTAGGCACAAACACTGCAGATGATTAACTTTGAAGAGAAAGAATACAAGGAACATACACAGACCACTGACCTACTCAGCCATATTTGTAAAAGTATCAATCACCTAGAATCATAACAGCAACTCTCAATGAGGCTTGCTTTAATATAAGAACTAATAGGTGCTTGATGTGGTTTTAAATGAAATTATTTAGGTGCTCAAATACAGTGGTTTCCTTTAATCTCTAAAATCCAAAAAGCAATGCACTGGAATTGTTCTTCTTTCAATGTTGTTATCTACTAAGTCTGTTCCTTACAAATAAAGGTAAAATTCCATGTCCAAACAATACTCAAAATTGTTCACTCATCTGTATAGTCCTTATAGCAAATATTAAATGAGACAGAATTTTAAAACATGGAAGTACTTGGATTATGCCTATTAAAGTACTTTCTCCCCCCACTTCCTTTTTTCCTCCGTATTTTTCTTTTACGTTCTTCAATAACTTTGAAAAACAGGCGGGTTTGTTTTTATATCATCCCCCCTGTGTACTGCCTGGACCCCACTGCACTGTGCAGTCTGAACACTGAGAAAGAAATCGGCTTCTGGCCTATAAAGGCAATAATATGAACCAGTCTAAATGAGTCTGGTATCATGTTTAAAGAATTATTGATAATAATGAAATTAGAGTCTGCTTGTTAATGATATGTATATAAGACATTAAAATGAAGATGTACTGACTATCTTAACATTGATTTCCAAAAATTGAGAACTTGTGATGTAGATTTTATAACACCATGGGTACTCTGTTACTATGAGAACTGGCAATTGTACTCTACTATTGTTCACATCCTTGTAAGAATCCTTGATGCATCTGTGTCACTTTAACTATTATCATCACATTCTCCCTCAACCATTGAAACCGTTGTACATTCCACAAACTGTAAATCACCACTTTGTTTTTACATATCTATTTCAATTTTGCTATTGCCTCTTAGCATTCAGAATCCTTAAATCCAGAAGTCAATAAATACATACAAGCCTCAGATAAAAATTTTGACAAAACCAAGCACTATAAAAAACACCACAAAAGAAATTTATTTATACAGTTTTACCATTTAGGCACTAAATTTGTTCTTTCTCAATATTTATTTTAGGACCCACAATGTCATTTTTATATAAAGACTGAGACACTCACCAAAAAAAAAAAAAAAAAAAAAAAAAAAGGAAAAAAAAAAAAGGGGCAAAAAAAAAAGGGCAAAAAAAAAGGAAAAAAAAGGGAAAAAAAAATCTTTGTTACTATAAATCAGAAAATGAAGTGGAAAATTACAGACTTTTCCAATTAAAACAATCCTGTGACTTTGCACAGTTATGCCCACAATTTTAAAATTCTTCTGGGTCTCATTTAATGAGCAATACTGGACTCCAAAAAGACTGAAGATTTTTGCTTTGATAGAAGTAGCTTCTGGTTTAGAAAAAAGTTTGTTGTTTTTTTAATTTTCATTTTATAAAAAGCGAACTTCCTTCTGGTTTGGAAAAAAGATTTTAAAAAAATTATTTTATAAAAAGTGAACTTCCTTTTTTGGAAAATTAAAAATAAAGAACCCTTCAGGTCTGATATTATCAAAACAGTAAGACTCTATTGCTCAGCTTTGAACAGTTTCTCACGCTGGTATTATTGCTCCTCAAACACAAAACACTGAATTATGATATCATTTACTCATGTGAGAAAATGAGTTGTTGATTTATATTCTTCCAAAGTTGCTAACATTCTCATGAGGATGAATTTAAACCTCTTTCCAGAGGTAATTTTTTTTTCCAATGCATCTTCTTATTTTCAGCAATGGGTGAATAAGAAGTAAAGTATCTGTTCACTTGATTGGAATGCTTTATTACTCAGGAACTAGAGCTGTATTAACCAATTAAACTAACAGTATGTGATACATTCCATAATGGTTTCACATCGGTGCTTTGTCTATTTGACCTGGGAAAATGCCAGAATAATTTATTTGTAGCGTAATGTCCCTGGCAAAGCATAAAAACTCCCAGTCCTAACTCACCATACATTGTGGGGACCTACGTAATAGACTATTGATTGCTGCAAAGAAATAAATAGATGAATTGGAATAAAAAGAACCTTTCTGATCTAATGTATAGACTAAGATGCCTTTACCTTCTCTTAGTAAGAATAATTGTTCATTCTTAATTATTTTACTAGATGCTACAGAAAAGCATTTTTTAACTGTGAAGATAATTTCATTATCAGATTAAGATTGACAGACCTTTTCTTTTTTTTTAACATCACAAAAGTGAGTAACATCTCAGTTTAGGAACAGGCTAGAATACTAGTCTATCTTGACTACAGAACATCTTGCAAAATCAGCAAAGTTTTGACTCAATGAAAATGCCACTCCAGCCATAGCTCATTCATGGCAATACAGTCTTTGGTTGGTTGACAGCATAAATACTTCTGTGAAGTTTCTCTAGGACAGCGTACACCTTTTCAGAGTGGATGCAACAGTAACCATGGTGTACTGCGTCAGGTAGAGAAATGGATATACTCATGAATAAAACTGATGGGACAGTACTGATAGTAAACTACATTCCAGCTTATTTTTAGGAATACAAAGTGTCCTTGAGAAAATATGTACGTTCCTAAAAGATTAGATGCAGCCAGGCAATGGATCTGATCATTTAAAAAAAAAAAATCTAAAAAGGAAACAACCTGTGAATACTGGGAATTACTATCAGTCTTTTTAACGATTAGCTATCAGACAGAAATGAAACTTTTTTTTTAAAAATAAAAGTTGAGAATATAATTTTTAGAACTACTTAAGAAAAGGGCTTCCTAGATTTTCTAATGAAGAAAGAAACTGACAGTTTAGTACCTTTATTACATTATTGATCTGCTTTAGTCTTACTGCATTTTCATAGGCCAAATATATATATACACACACACACACAAAAAAAATTACATGCTGTAATATCTACAAAGCAAAGGTAGCAAGAAGAGGTAAATGAGTCACAGAAATCATCAGTTTGGGACTGTACATTTATTTCCATACTTAAATGAACTCCTACTACATTCTGGGAACCACCACAGAGAACCATTTCAGATGGCATGGGCTAATGAACATAGACACATTGAAGTTGATTTTGTTGCGGGGTACTGAAAAATAAAATGTTATTTGTTCTGGATCAGTTTTAGTTCAGAACTTCTCTGGATGATTTTAGACTAATTAAAATAAAAAGTTGAGACATAATTCTAAGTACGCAGACATTCTCGTTTCTATTTTTCTTCCCCAAGAAGCTGCAAATGAACAAACACAGGCTGTAGTAGGGCACTCAGAAACTACTGGTTCTACAGTATCAGGGCAGAAGAGTTTTTCAGTTTGGAGAATACATGCTTGCTCACTCTGCTGCAAGAACCAAGTGTTCTCAAAGCAGTGGATTATCATAAATTTAAGATTAAAAACTTCCTATTTACTGTATAACCTATAAGAATCAGTAGTACTCAAACTAACAAAAAGAATGTATATGATCTGTTCTCCAAAGTGAAGAAAGAAACAACAGGGAAGAGTTATTTACCATTTTTTGTTCTGTTGATGACATATGCATCATTCAGTTGAAATACGAGTTTCATTCACAAAAATGAGATTCCTGCATGGAGAAATCTTCTATTTAAGTTTCTGATTCAAGCCGAGATGTTTCACTCTAATCAAGACTATCTAAGACTATGACAATTTGAAATCCACCGTTTCAATCTCAAGTTCCATTAGAAGAAACTATTCCTCCAGATACAAAAATACAGTAAGGGTTGGGCTTGAATGCTGAGAACGATGTATATTCAAGAAGTTGATTATTAGATCTTAATCTGAAAGTGGCATTGAGTTTGCCAGATCAATCCTTACTTTCATCCTCACTTTCAAGGCAGCTTTGCAAACAAAAATTTCTTTCACGTTCGGAATAGGCAATTTTAAATTAATTTCATTCCTTCAATAAACAAATACTATGTAAAATGTATTCATGTGATATGTGAATTCATGTGAATGTTGCTTAGCAAAAACAAACCCAAACATTTTTCTTCAATGCATCTGGGCAACCTTACTATATTTGACTTGTAATAATAATTACAAGTGTGACAAACACTAAAATCACATTGCAATATATAACTGAGTCATTTTTACCGCATGTGTTGATTGTGGAACTCAGTGATGCAGCTCCAGTGGAAAGGCCACCTTTCGATACTGCTGAAGCTACAGACGGAGTAGAAGACGCTGGAGTCGAAGCAGTTGCAGTAGAAGAGACTGATGATGACGTTAACCGCTCTCCAGACTCCATATCTATAAGAGAGAAGATAAAAGTCTGTCTTCTATGGCAGGAAATGCAATCGTAAGGGGACTACAGGAGTGTCTGTGCTGACCATGTCTCAGGATCTGCACTTGATTCTTGAGCAGTTCCTATGAGATCTTCACATGAGAAGTGTATCACATGAAGAGCAGTCAGTCATCAGGGGAATCCAGCAAAACTGCAGCAGCAAGGGAATTAGGTAGCTACATCACGTTTCAACTTCAATGCCAACCAGCCTCACCTGGGACCACCACACACCCCCTCTGCTCAGGAGCTCCATTTCGGCCCAGGCTGGCACTTTCAGCCCTTGCCTGAGTTAGGTCACATCTCTGCACCTCATCTGTGCCCATGCCTGCTGGCTGGATCCCATGTCTCTTGTTAAGAGCTTCCCTTCAGGCCTGCATCAGCTCCTATCTTCTGCTGCTCCTGACCAGAATACCGGACAGACACTGGGCTGACAGACCTCTCTGTTTTGTCTGGACCCTGTGACCAGCACAGTGTTCAGGTACTGCGGGACTGTGCCATGGACAGGAAAAACGTTGCCAGTGCCATTAGTGACTGCCAGCTTGTCCCTCCTTGCAGAGCAGCCCTCCTCTTGCTGCTCCCTGACGGACCCCTCCTTTAAAGAACCTGTAATGCCTGCCAAAAAGCCTGTATCTAGTTTCTTAATTTAGTGAAGGACCCATAAATTATGGTGAGATAGTAAAAATATAAAAACTCCTTTAAGTTACTAGCTTTGTGTTTTCCTGGTGAGCTTTTGATATAAAATAAGGTATTTTTATTTGCGCCATGCATGAATTGCCCAAATCAAAAGTTATCAGACGTATTTCACTGAACAAGTGTGTGCATTTTAAGAAAAACACACAGTAAAATTATTATTAAAAATACTACTTCTTGGGAAATAAGTTTCTCAAATACTTAAAACTTGCAGCCAAGCAAATGATGTCTAAGCATAGTGGTAGCAGAATCAAAAGACTACCTAATTCAATCTGCCAAATTGCAGTTGATGGTGAGTCAGGATCAGAGTACAAATAAGGTGGGGAAGAAATCTTTTCAGAGTCTCTTTATTATTACAAAGGCAATAAGCTAACTCCTAAAAGGAAACTCTGGAGAAACCGGTTCCTGTGCTGCAGTCTCCTTCAGCTACAGAAGCAACACCCTTTCTCAGGCCTATCACTGGAAACTCCAGCAGGCCTAGTACTAAGCCTAAGTCAAACAACTGCTATAAAATCTCACTCCCAGTCTTTGTAAAACAGAATGCCAAGTACACAAGAGACACACACTTTCCCAGATTTTATTTTACTCAATCTAGAAAGCTGATGTGCTAAACAGCACTCCTGACCCAAAGTTATGTTAAACCGTGACCTCCCAATTACTCATTTGGAAAGCCAGCATAAAAGCTGTTACCTGCTTCTCCAGAAGGATCCAGTATATACTTGGTTCCTCCCAGTCAGTAAAAATTAATCTTAAAAAGCCAAAGGAAATACAAAAGCAAAAGTCACGGAGAAACAAACAAAATATCCGGAAGCTACGCTGTGCCCATTTTAACCATATCATTAATTCCTTATCACTAATAATTGTTGTATGTGGCAACTTCTACGTACCAGATAAAGTCTCTAGACCTTCCTAGCTAGCAGAACAAAAGATACTACTTTCCCAAAGTGAAAATTCCGTGAATAAGGGAACTATAGCATATCGTATAAAACTGCCTACCTTTTACACAAACTGCAACCACCCACTCTGCAGAGAACAGCATCAAAAGACTCCATTGCTTTTACTCTTTATAGCCCAATTTATCACACATAATTTTCACGCATGCAGAATAATTTTTTTTTCTGCAAATACAGAAAAATTAACTACTTACACTGATATGGTTCAAAAAGTATCTGCTGGCATATTGAATATGAGGACTATGACCTTTTCCTTCAGAACGACAGTAGAAATCACAAAAACTATTTCCTTCAGAGACTTCATAAAGGCTAAATATTATTAAACGTGAATTTTTTAATTCGAGACTCCTAAATACATGCTTTTCTCCAATTAAACATTTTCTATCCACAGTTAAGGAATACCTCATTGATTTTTAGTAATCTGTGAATATAATTCAGCTAGACCACTACTCAGTGGAAGCAGACCACTGAAAAACACTGTATACACTGTAGTCTTTAAATGCTCTATTATGTCCATTAAATTTTATAATTATTCCTAAGGATAATAATTAATAGAAATCCTTTTCGTGTACCTAAGATTAAGTCTGTAGCATTTGCAAACAGATACATTATTTCACGCTACAAAAACTTTACTATCTTTAGTATACAGAGATCAATAAATAGACATAAATTAATATAACAAAGTACATTTTTAGGCACTATGAATGATTGAACTTCGGTGAAGCCAAAAGGCAGTCCTTGTACAAAAACCTATGGTTTTGTTGTATTCTGGTATTCATTGTTGTAAGTATGGCTACAGTTAATTTACTGTATATACGGATGGCATAAGGGAAATCAGAAACACATCATAATGGTATTATTATAGTAATCACGTATATAAGGGAAGGTATTTCTAAGCTTTAATGCACTGCATTCAAAACTCAGGATTGAAACCTTGTATTTTACTTATGTTTCCCGACAAAAACATCCCAGAGCTCTCCAAATTCTAAAAAAAAATTGCTGTCATGTTGTGTGTAATAATACAGCATTAAAATAAGTCTTTACCATCTAATGTATTTTATAAATAAGCACAGTTAAGAACCAACTATAAGCAATCCACATTTGTGTCATAAATAGGAAGATATCCTTGGTAAATCAATAATTTTTTTAATACAGAAATGTAAATTTAGCTATACTGTTGCTGCATGCTTTTAACCAACGTAAGCCATCTGTTTGAATTGGTAATACAGCATCAAATACAAACTGGAAAAATAATAATAAACTGTCCTTTTAAGGATCCCCTCCTTCCCCCCCCCCCCTTTTTGTTTCAGTTTTCGGGAGGTTGAGGGGTATTCTTTGGGGTGGTTGCATTTTCAACCTTTATTTCAGCAGCTTGTTTCAAGTCATTAATAGAAAACTGGAATAGTGGTATTTCTGAATGATTTTGAACTGAAGAAATTATACTCTTTTCCTAGAGACATACATACTTTTGCTTTCAAGCTAAGTCAACCCTTAATTATGTTTAGTTAATTACTCTAACTACACCAGATGGCTGACTCCAAAAGAGATAATCCCTGAAACAGTCATTAGTCAGGATCAGCAATAATTACACTGTAGACCTAATGCGTTCTGTGACTAAAAAAGTCCATACCAGTTACAGCAGATCCATATTCTTCTTAACCTCAAGTATAAATTAGACATTTGTTCCATTTTTAGTGTATTTTGCCAGTCAAAACTTATGACGAACTTTCATGACTGCTTTTTAAACTCTCATATTTGTAAAAGAGAAATTGAGTGAGTAAAACTTGAAACAAAAAACTCCCATTTTTTTATTTTCCAGGTGTAGTGATTTGTGTCAGTTCCCTCTCAATGCTTTGCCCCAAACTCATTATTTTCCCAGAATTTTCCATAGTGAACAATAATCATGAATGCAACTTAACCTCAATGAAAACAGAAAGCAGTACCTCATTAAAAAGTAATGGAGAAGGGAAGTATGTGCAGCTTTACACAAGGACAATGTTGTCTTGGGGGGGGGGAATTCTAATGTTTAATAAAAATAATAACACTGAAAATAGGTGAAGGTTTACTAGAGGAAACAACAATCAAATCATTTTCACATTAGAAGGTGAAATTTCTTTAATTACCTACCAATTTCATAATCAAAACCTTTGCTGAAATGTATACTAATGTAGAAAAATATATTCTTGCTCTTAAACAGGTATTAACAAATAACTCCCTTCATGGAGTACAATCATGGATAGAATAGTATCCTATCAACGTTATTTGGGATGCATGAATACTATAAAGTGGGTCTTAAAAAAATCTAAACAGTAGACTTACCTCCAACTTCCAGTTTAACCTCTACACTCCCATGTACTGCTTCATTATTTCAATTACTACCTCTAACACAGCGAAACAGAAGTTGAAAGTGCAGGGGTAAAAAGATACTTCAGTCTTCTTCAATGACCGAGTGAAATTTTAACACTACTTGACAGTCAACTGCAGAAGAGTCCCACTACATTTGGTGTTCTCTTGCCTTACAACAAGGTATTTAATCATATTGTATCATAGTATTGCCAGTCTGTGATTATTTCTTGAGTCAATACGAGTGCTCTAATGCTGAAGATCTTACAGCTGCTGAAGGGAAGCACATCAGTCTCTCAGAACAGATCGTCCAGAACAGTATAGTTCATCGCAAATCTGAAATGCGGTTTCCTTTTATGAAGTACAATTTAACATCTAACTCTTCTCTTTCGAAGCGGGGCAGAGCCCAGAATGGTCAGAGCACAGAAGGTAAATGCAGAACACTGATGCTGGTCAGGGTGGGGCTGGGTGACCCATGGGTTCCGCAATGCAATGTCACAAAGGCCACAGAACCAAGGAGGAGTGGGTGTAAAAGCAGTGGTGTGCAAAAAAAATACACAGAACAAACCAGTGCCCTGACCAAAACCTCAGAGAGAAGGAAGTGTAGCACCCACAGGAATGGGTGCAGTTCATTACAGACAAGCTATGGACAGACACAGGAGGCTCCCAGTGACGCTCCCTGCTCTAGTGACAGCGTCTGGTCATAGATCTTCCAACACACAGTTTATTACTATGCTTTAGATCTCTGATATTTCTGAACTCAAATAAAAGTGTCAATATAATTAATGAGAATCACTTTACATGTCTCAAATACTGTACAAGCCTTAAAGGCCACGTTAAGTGCTAAATATCCCAAGTTTTGCAGAAGTCCACTGTAATTATGTTGCTTTCAATGATTTACTCTAAGCACTTTACGTAATACTCTCTAGGGAAAAAAGTCACCACAATAAAACTTTCTATAGCAAATCAACCACCACCAC